TTCGCCGCGGCCCCAGCCACTTCGGCATCCTCACTCTGTTCGAAGGACTGGTTGGATCCGTTGCTTAGCTCCACGTTCACCGTGTTAGTTCTCAAGGCTACTATAGTTCCTGAATCGCTCCTCCTTTCTGCATAGATTCGCTGCTCAAAGACCTGAGCAGTGTTGGGCTGGAATTCGGGATCCAGGGGGACACTGTTTGTGGTGGAGCCCATGACCGTGCGGTACATCCCTCACTCTGTTCGAAGGACTGGTTGGATCCGTTGCTTAGCTCCACGTTCACCGTGTTAGTTCTCAAGGCTACTATAGTTCCTGAATCGCTCCTCCTTTCTGCATAGATTCGCTGCTCAAAGACCTGAGCAGTGTTGGGCTGGAATTCGGGATCCAGGGGGACACTGTTTGTGGTGGAGCCCATGACCGTGCGGTACATCTCCATCCCCTCCGGCAGCATGGACTTAATCTTCGGCAGCCAGCGCTTGCGGACCCGGCGGGCGTTGGTGCACATATCGGCCGCTATCACATTCATCTCGCTTTCCTTAAAGCTCGGGGCAAAATTCTGACAATACACTGCAAAGACAGGGATACACAGAGCTGAGGATTCAGAGAAAGCAACGCCGAGGCGGTCACAGCCTCCGCCCCGTCCTAGAGATCTGCCGCGAGGCTCAGCAGGAGCCTCCCAGCGGAGGTCCACCCGGCGGCCAGAGCTCTTGCAAGGAGATGCTGCCAGACGAGGATTCCTCAGCTCGAGACAGAGACAACCAAGACGGGATAAAACCAGAGGAGCAGCACTCACCCCCTGGGGACCCGGCAAACCCCGGAGGTACCAGGCTCCCGCTCGCGGCACCCGGTCTCCAGCCACGCGCGGCACCTGCGAAAAGGCCGCAGCACGCCGGGACATCCCAAAGCAGAAATGGACACAGAGAAAGTCAACACGAACTCTTCAACTGCCCAAAAGACCATCCTCTGCCCGTCCTACACCTCGTGCCGGTCACTGCGTGGACCACCAGCCTGGCCAGGTCTTTGCAGCTGGCACGTACCCCGAGAAGCCCAGCGACGCCCTGGCTGCAGCCCTGCTCCTCCGCAGGACTGAGCACCTGATGGCACCGGAGCAACGCCCCAGGAACCGCCACGGTGAGGAATTATCAACCAAAGCTTGTGTGCTGAGTAAAATTCAGGCAGAGAGAATTCATCTCGGGCCCTGACACATGACAGAGTTGTAGGCACTGTCACCGGGCAGCGACACCTTTCCAGCCTCTGAAACTCTTTGCAAAGCTCAGCAAGGACCCAGGCTGGAAGGTCCAGACCCAGGCTCTCCAGGGTGAAGCTGCTGTCCAGGAGAGCATCACACACAAGCTACAGGCAGCACTGACAGCACAGTTCAGTGATTTTGTCTTTATGTATCCAACACCTGCCCTCTTATCCCTTTCCTCCACATGCTACAGATCTGAGGTTGGCCCCTGGAGTTCAGCAGCACAGCAACAGTTAGGGAGAGAGCAAGACTTACCTTCCAAATCTAGAAAACAAAAAATAAACCAAAAACACTTGCCTCGAGTTTCATTTTCCAGCACAATAATATTTACGTCAAGATTTACTACCCCTAATCCAGTGAGGGTGAGAGAACACATTGCTTTCCACTGTGTATCAAGCCCAGGGTAAAGAGGCTTTGCTGCGCTGACCCATCGGGGCTTCCTACAGCGCCCAGCTCCTCACTCACCAGCAGGCACCGTTCGCCCCACAGCGCGCTCCTTGTATTCAAGGGTGACTGCACGAACCAAATATTTCACCGTTTGTTTCTGCTGCCTGCCATAAATAATTAAACAGCCTTGATGGAAGTAGCAAAACTCCCCTTTTCTTGTATAAACATCAGGTGTTGGGCACAAACCCGTCGAGTGAGACAGGTAGCCCTGCACATCCCAGCCCTGGCTAAAGTCAGCCCCCCAGAATGACACACGATAAAAAATAAACCCGTTTTCCTACAACTTGATTTCGCCAGATACAGTTCCCATTATTACGCAACAGAGGTGGCCTTCCCCGCTTGGGTTTCAGCTTTGCAGTACCGTTCTCTCCTTACATTTGACTGCGTTCAGAACCCTGCTGTCCAGGGGCTTCCTGCTGGGATCGCTCGTGGAGGACCGGATTCCAGTTCCGCAGCTGTTGGCAAGCGTGTTCCTGCGAGAAAAGCAAAGGCAGATCCTTACACCGGGGACTCGAAGGGCACAGCCGCTGCCTTCTCACCCCACCAGGTTCTTGCAAAGGGATCACCCCCTGACACGATTTTAAGGTAAGGGATTGGAAAACTTTGCGGTTGGGTTCAAGCACCATTTAGAAAAAGCACAGAAACCAGTGCGGGATACACAGAGGATGGAGCACTCGTGACATGTTATCGATTGACACGGCTAAAACACCAGGAAATAAACCAAATCCCCTGGGAGAGTGCGAAGAGCAAGAGGACGTACCGATCAAAGAAGGTGGCCAGAAGACGTCTCAGAAGGACCTTGTGTTTGACACCAGCACATAAGTGGCAATTCATCAGCTGCCCCCGGGTGATGTAAACACCTGAGCCTGGCAGGGGTGGAGAGGGAGAATTCGGAATTAAACCCCTCGCCTCGCCGGCAGCATCGCCTCCGAGCCGCGAGCCAACGGCTG